TGTAGTAAAACGGAGTCTAACCTTTCGGTTTTTCCCCGAGTATCGTGTCTCTTGAGGAATGGCGGAGGAGTTTCTCGATTTTAAGCTCAGTCACAGGTTATCGCAAATTATTGGAAGCTTTCCAAATTAAAACTTTTGATTGATTTTCTAAACTAGTTTTTGAAAAATAAAGTAATTAAATTATGCAAATACTAATGATGGCTCAAAATTAAACTAAATAAAAAATATTAAACTCTAAATGGATTGATCAAAGAAGGGCAATGAATTGAATAATTAGAAATGGATATATTCTTGGACCTAGTAATTAGGGGAATTAAAACAACAATTGGACTAATAATTTCTTTTCTCATAGACAAGAATAGAAATTACTTTCATTAATTTATCCTATTTCTAGGTTTCATTAATGTATTCAAAAATGGTTGGCTTGAATTAAATTCTAATCTCATAGACAAGGCAGAAATAATTCTCCAAAATTTTAATTAATAAAAATAGCCAAATTCATTAACTAATTAAATTCATTATTTAAGCAATTTGAATTTATTTTTCATAGACAAGATGTAAATCCATTTCATTAAAATTATCCTATTTCTAGGCCTTATTAATGTTCTTGAATAAAGTTGGCTCAAATTACTTTCTAATCTCATAGACAAGTTAGAAATAATTTTCCAAAATTTAATTAATGAAATTGGCTAATAATTATTAATTACTAATTCATCAAATTGAATAACTAGCTCAATTAATTAATTTTAACCCCTAATTTTCGGCTAACAAGTCAATCCATATTCCTTTACTCAATTCATGCCCAAAACAAATTTAGCTACTAAACATTATTTTTGCATTCAACAATATGGTAAATAAATTAAACATTAACAAGGAATTAAACATGTATAATAGCAAAAATTAAACAAAAATAAGATATTGTCAAACTAAACTTTCTGGAACTACAATATGACTTTTTGGAAATTTTTACGAATTTTTAAACCTAAAATCCAATTTTAACCCTAATTGATAATTTTCCCACTTTTAACTATAAAATACAAAAGGCAATTAAAAATAGGCTAAATTCGTTCTAAATTTTCTATTGACTACTGGCAGTGATATTACAGAGAAATAAACTGGAATTAAGGCCGAAACTATTTTTTTACTCTTTTTAAGTAATTAATTTAATTTATGCAATAATAACAACTAATTACTGAAATTAATTAAAAATTACTTATGCTTCGGAAAAATTAATTTTCTTCAGATAAACAACAACTTTGAGGCTAGTAAACAACTATATAATTAATTGGAATGAATTCAACATCAACAACTATTTTATTTAATTTTTGGAAGAAAATGCGAAATACTTGATAAATATTCTGGAAAAATTCGAAGAACAGGTCGAGAAAACAAAGCACAGATTCAGATTCTACTCGTTGAGAAGATGAAAATACATATAAAGAACTTACAAATTGGAGCTAAAATGAAAAAGATATGAAAGATTGAAGTTGAAGGTGCAAAAATGGTGGAAATCTGAGCTTTGAAGAGGAAGAAGAAGACCTTTTGAACTAGTTTCGGGCTAAGAATGGTATATTTGAGTTCAGCAAAAATCGGGCTATTTATAGCACCAAAAATCTCGCAGGCCTCCAAACAGACGGCCGTCTGCCACCTTGCTCCGGCCGCCTGCCGTCACATCGCACCGACCGGTTGTTCGTTTCGTCGTCTTGTGCTGCAGGCGGTCATTGAAGGCGGCCGCCTTCCGTCCAGTGTCGGCCACCTTCCGTTTTTCTCCGGTTCGGTCAAATTTCCAAAAATATTGATTTTTCAAAAAAAACGGCAGGCGGCCGCGCAGGCCTCCATTTTTTGGCCGCCTGCCAGGCCGCCTATGAGTTTATTTGACCATCTTGTTCTGTATTTTGTGCTCTTCAACTTTCCCTTCTGGACCACTTTGAAAGTCTGCTTGCTTCTTTCGGTATGATATCATTTTCACTCAAATTGACGCATTTTGTGCTTAATTGACCCGAAATTTCGTCAAACATATCATGGACGTGATTTTTACCTGATTTCATGAAACATGAACCAAAAAATATAAAACATGCCTTGTTTTTCTATTTTCCAATCTAAAATCGCTTAAAATTGATAAGAAAAATAAGTACAAAAATGGACTTATCATGACCTGAGCAGCCTCAGCAGCAATCTTAGCTTGTGAATTGGCAAGGTCCACCCGGAGCTGGCCAAGCTCGGCTTCAAGTTTTTTCTGCTACTGATCGGCTGCCTGAAGCACCTCAGCGGTCGCTTGCTGTGCAAGCGCTCGAGCTCTGACAAGCTCCTCTTCTCTTTCGAGCCGAGCAAGCTGCATCTATAACTGGTAATAGCCAGCCTGCAGAACGGAGCGTTATATAACGAACAACATAAAAAGATGAGCAAGGAAGCAAGCAGTAGAATTTTACCTTAAGGGTGGCCAGGGCAACCCCTGCTTCAACTTGTTCGACCGACTACCTCGGGAGATTGTAGTCATTCATCATGGCGGAGGTACTCCAAACGCAACATTAGCAACACCGGACGAACCCAAAGCATCAATGAAAAGGGCATTGGAATGTAGATCCCCGAACGGTTGGTCTACATTCATGCCACCAAAATCTACCTTCTCAGGGGGTATCTGCTGTAGTGGCTCAGGCTGTTGGACCGCTGGCTAGGCTGCCGATAAAGCTGCTTCTGGGGCGGAGGATCTGGCCTTTTTCTTAAGGGGTTTCTTCTTCTTAGCCGCGCCCATCTCCTCAAGGTGATTCCTGTTCATGGTTGTGTCGGTGTTGGGAGCTGAAAAAAGAAAAGTGAACTGTTAGTACCGAGCGGTCTTAGCGTGTGTGAAAAAGGCATGGCATGTAAGTTTCTCACACAAGAAGGACCGCCCAGGCCATGGCACTTGGTTTTCAGTCAAGGAGCCCGGGAATTCGGACGGTACCTATCCCGGCCTCCACAAGCCGATCGGGGGTTAAGGAATCCATGATATCTAGCGTCCTGGTCCTTTCCACTGCGATGATCTTCTTTTCTAGCTCATCCGACATAAAGGGCTCGGTGGATTTAGGTGGATAAGCATTCCACCTCTTTGGGATAAGGCCGTCCGAAACGGAAACAAAGAAAAATCGATCTTTCCACCCCTTGATGGAAGTAAGGGTTCCCTTAAAAATGATCCGTTTCGTTCGAGCACTCACTGCCAGAAATCCATCCGTTTGTTGGGGGGCGACCTTGAAGAAATGATGGAAGAGGTACAAAATGGGCTCCACATCCACATCCCTGCAGCGGCAGATAAACCCGACAATGACCCGGTAGGAATTCAGCATTATTTGGGTCGCGACTACTTGGTAGTTGTTGAAGAAAGCCACAAAGAAAGGGTGCAGCGGGAACCTTAGCCCGGCCTTGACAGAGTCAAGATGCACCACCACCATTCCAGGGCAGTCATCTTATTCACGTGGAGGCCAGCGTGAAGGCGGAAGTCAACCGGGTAAGGAATAAGGGCAAGAACTTGGGCCCTAAGCTTATTGGACAGCCTCTGCCTCCACCTTCGAATGGGCCTCAAGTCCAAATGGTGACCAGGGGCATCGTCAAGAGGGCCTGCCTTCATCACCGCCATATCATCCCCAGACTCGGTGTCATCAGAATCACTGCTAGACGCATCATCTGAAAAATTTCCGGATTCAGCATCCTCAGAACCACTTGCGGAAGGGGGGTCTTCAACCGCATCCCCCATGGCAGCACTGGTGCCTGCCGTATCATCAACATTTGTGTTCATCTCAGAACCCTGGGCTAGTTCAATGACCGCAGGGTCAGAAGGGCTAGAGCTCAAAGACATTTGCACTGAACCAAGGAATGAAGAGAAGGAAGAAGAAGACAGAATGGTGGTTACTTGAGCGAAATGCTAAACTAAGGATTTGGAAAGAAGGCAGAGTACTTGAGGCGGAAATCTGAAAACCCGGAACCAAAGCCCAAAGTCCCTACTTATGGACTAGAGGCGCCGTTACGCCAACCAGTCACAAAGTGACACGTAGCAAGAGACGCTCCAAGGGACACGTGTCGCACGGAGGTGAAACGTCAGGTAATCATGACAGTTACATAGGAAATACAAGCGACAACTGCCAAAGAACTTCGAACCATCATGTCAGGAGCAGGCAAACACTAGCAAAGAGCACCATACGGGATTAAACCGAACGGCGAGAAGCTTACTTTTCTACTTCCTCATGTCCCGAGCATGCTCGAAACATTGGAAGTGGGGGATTTGTGATGGGATATTAAGGTCCGGCCCAAAGTACCAGCCCAGAATATCCCTAGGGCCCAGACACAAGAAAAAGCCCAGAAGAAGTCATAGGCCCCAAATGGGAGTTCGGCACATCCCTAAGGCCCAAAACACAAAGGGTAGTCCAGAAGAAGTCATCGGCCTCAAATAGGAACTAATCGGGTCCAGAAGAAGTCATTGGGCCCGAATGGAGGTTGAGTGACTAAAGGAAAGGCCCGTTCGGCACCTCCCGAACGGGGTATAATTAGGTCCTAACGGGGGTAATCAGTTTATTCCCCAGTCAGTGGCTTAACGGGGCTTAATCCCGAACGAGAGTTCCTCAAGTGACCGACTACAATTAATGCTGGATCATGTAGGCCTCAAGTGGTATGGGAGGCAAACAATCATATTAGAGCACCCCATACCCCGCCACATACCTCCATCTAGTATAAATAGCAGCATTTAATTCATTATAAAAGTTAGCATTTGCTTACTCATAAGCTTATATTGCATTCTAGCTCTTGTATTAGCCTTTGGATCGTAACTACCGTTCGACCATTCTCGTGTAATCGTTATTACTGCGTTAATACAAGCAAGACTATTTGCGTGAATCTATCAATTTTTATATTTCTTTTATACACGTTACTGTAGCAATCTTACCCTTGATCCAAGGTTAGTGTTGGGCCTTCGGGTCATTCGGGACTTAACTTCAATAATATGTTTTATCTTTATGATCTTATTTTTTTTATTCCCGGAATAAACCACTCGAGGTGGGGGAGTGCCGGGGAACACTTCCCAATTTTATTAATAATTAATTAAAAGATAGCGGAAAAGCATACATGGAAAACATGGTGTACAACGAAAATAAAAAACTAGCAGGTTAAATTTGCAGTGGAAATTCCAAGAGTAGCTGAGATATTTTTGTTGTATCTGTTGTAGAATATGATCGCCTTCTTAAGATATGGTTGATAAGTTTTAGCCTTCGGACGTTTTGATTTGTAAAGCTTGATGGTTGCAACCAATTTGTGTGGCGAGTCAAACCTTTGGTCGACCGGATAAAGAAAATAATCTGATGCATTTTGAGGTTTATGAGATTGACTTCTAGTGACCATCGGGTGAGAAGCATATCCAACATGGTAGAATAGTTGTGTGTCTGATTTGGCTGATTTTTGGCTTTCGGCATGGATCTTGGTAGAATAGGTGTGAGCAGGTGATGTATTATATTATGATCTTAATATAATACTGCATACATAATTACACATATTTCATATTTTAATTCTTAACAAGGGTTGACCAGGTTTTTTGCCCGTTGACCAGGCTGACCCTGGATCCAGTCACTCATCCGGGTCGTCATCCGTGTTTTGACAACATGGCGAGTTCTTCCCTGGGTCTCTTCACCGGTAGTGTTTTGTGTAGCCGGCTTTCTCCTTCGGTGCAGGTTGGCCCTTCTAAGGTATGTCTTGTCTATTATCCAAGAGCAAAAATGATTAGACTATTTGATGAATATTGTTTTGTTTGATGTCTTTATGACATGATGTATTAAGAAAAGATTATAGATGGGGAAGTTTATAGAGATTTGTTTGTTACTTGCGAATTCACATTCTTGGGTATCCTATTTCAAAAAATGAATTTATACAAGCATAGCAACCGTAAACACATGTAAAAGAAGGAAAAATAATTAAAATACCCCAAACTTTGATGAGATGTGAGCATTCCAAACTTGCATATGTAATTTAAATAACCTAATCTTTATACAAAAATTTATTTTAACACATGGTCATGTATTATTTCTTTCAAAAATGATACATTTTGGTGTTAATTTCATAATCTAAAATATTCTAACATTCATTAAGATACAATTAACATTCTAAACTTCCATTTTAAAAATAAAAATACTACCCCCACTCTATATAATTGCATATTTTTTAATTCGCTATTTTAAATTATGCAATTAACACCTTAAATTTACATTTTTGAAAAAATATATATGAAAATGGTGCTAAAATAACTTTTTATATAAAGTTTGAGGTATTTAAATTACATATGAAAGTTTAGAGTGTTTATCTCACATTTCTTCAAAGTTTGGAGTATTTTAATTATTTTAAAAGGACTCTCCGATTCCGGAATCTGCAGGACACCATAAGCATCAACGTGCGGGAAAACCAATTTGACAAAAAATCGAAAACATTGTGCAGAACTGAATATAGCCTTATTATTTATATTCTTAGTTTATGACTGCAGGTGTAGGCATGGCAAGGGGTCGGGGCGGGGCGGGTACTGCAAGACCCAGACCCGCCCCATGACTTGATGAGGCGGGTTCGCCTCGCCCCGTGACCTGCACGGGTCCAAACTTGTTGACCCATGACCCGTCTCATGCATGGCGGGTCCGCCCGCCCCGCCGTAACCTAATTAGCTAGTATTACGTATGTATTTTTATTTGTGAGAAGTTATTACCAATTGAATGTACATAAAGTTTATCTTTAAGTAATTATTAAAAATTAATATATTAAATCAAATTCATGATACGCTAGAAATTCAAAAAGTCAAGGAAAAACCGTTAGACTTGAATAGTTAATCTATTTAATTATATTAATACTTGAATATATGTATTAAAATGCTATATATAAAGAAGAAATTGATAATCTATTGTTAATCTCAATCTAATATATATATATATATATATTGATATATTTAATACTTGAATATATGTATTAAAATGCTATATATAAAGAAGAAATTGATAATCTATTGTTAATCTCAATCTAATATATATATAAATATATATATATATATATATATATATATATATATATTGATATATATATATATATATATATTGATATATTATAAGATCAAAGAATTTATGATTTATTGTATACACACATATGTATGATAGCCCTGCCACGTACGCTCTAGGAATATCCCGACCTCACTAGAACTTCGCCTAGGCTCGAGGTCTGATGTCCAGCCTGGCCTGGTTATGGGTTCCTATCGTGAGTCTGATCCCTAATTAGGCCCAATGGCTAATTCATATTAATCCCGTTTGTGGGCAGATCCCGTGGAGGGCTAATCCCGTTTATGGGCTGGTTCCGTTGAGGGCTTGATCCCGTTATAGGCTTTACTTATAATTCTGTAATTGGGCCATGGTTGGAGTTCATGGTACCATCAGCATTTGACCAGAGGCGGCTTGAGCATTTTGGAGGCCCCAGACGAAAAATATTTACTATGTACAAATCACTTTTAAAATCAGATAAATTGAATAAAAATCGCCTTATGAAAAAAAGCATATTCAAAGTCCACGATATAATGTTTGTAATATTCAAAAGGATAAATTTTAAAATGCAAACTTTTTCAAAACACAAGGCAAACTTGTACTTGTAAAAGTATTAAGAGACTTCAAGAACGAGACTCAGAGAGAAGAGCTGAAGAGTTTTAGTTGATTCACTAACCAAGGGCCCATGTCGACGGCGGGCAGTGAGGCATATATACAGTAGCCGATTAGCGGTCTGTGTTGGGCGTTGATGCGTGTTGAGATCGGCTTTTGATAGTTTTTTCCTAACTTTAAGGTGTCATAAGTCTCAATTTTAAGCTCAAGTTATATTTACCAGCCGTTGGTTCGAGTTTTGGTATTTTTGGAGTCAAAATCAGGAAATTTAAGCCTGTCACCGATGTTTGAGAAACAATAAAGACGAGTTGAGAAGCATTTTAGAGTTGATTAGGAGCATTGGAGATCAGTGAGGTGTTAAAGACAAAGTTTTGAAGACAAAAGAGCTCTAGAATTGGCTACGGGATCAAAAGAAGACGAATAGAGCTTGAAAACTACGGTCAGGAGTCAGACGTTCTGTCAATCGTTCAAGCATATCTTTTCTTAGGAACATCCAAAAAACATAATTCAAGTTTCATATGAAAGCCAACTTCAAGGGCTAAAAATTATATGAAGACACCATTGTGAGAATCTGAGAGAAGCAAGGTGAAAACAGACGATGAAATCAGACAATCTCTGTTGAGATTTCAGAATGCGACCTTCCACCATTTTATTCATATATTTTTATTGGATGATTCAAATCCAATTTTGCAAGTTGTGTTGGATAGAAGACTTCATTAGCTACAACTTTGATGAAAGACGAATAGTCAAAAGTGAACTATAAAGCTGATTTCTGCTTGCAGTTATCGCTTCGTGTATTGGCGGTCTGCGAATAACACCTAATACTAATACGGGAGTAGAATTTTTTGGAGGTCCCCTTGGTAGTTGAGGCCCAAGGCAGTTGCCTGGCCCAACTGCCCTAAAAGCCGCCCCTGCGTTTGACATATATTCTTTAACTCCGCCATGAGATCATTTTTTGGTATCATGTCTGCCCCAAGCCAGGATAAAGGAGGAGGGTGATGTGGTAAGCGTGTGACGGAAAACAGTATCACTTAATCACATCACATGACATGAATCGAAATATGAATATCACTACAGCTAGGTTGTCGCTCGTAAGCGACTCGTCATCCTTCCGCCTAGTTGTGATGTCAAATATACAAGGGTGTGAGGCACTTCATAGGTCTGGGTGTGTTGATAAGAATGTTAAGGCTGCTATGTCGTCGCACAGAAGCAACACACCACTCCAATGCTCTGGGATGATGTCAAATATGCAAGGGCATGGTGGGAGTCGATGTAATGTGAAGAAGAGAAGATAGGGTGCTAGATTGCATTTCAGAACGTGGAATGTTGGCTCTGTTACGGGAAGATCATCTACGATAGCCGAGGTTATGAAGAGGAGAAATGTCAGAATAATGTGCATGCAAGAAACTAAGTGGGTTGGTAAAAAGGCACGCGCGATTAATCCCGGAGGTTTTAAGTTGTGGCGTTCGGGGAGAGAGAAGAACATAAATGGAGTAGGCATTATGGTGGCGCATGATTATGTTGAGAGTGTGGTGGAATCTTTAGTAAGAACGGCCGCATCATGAGCATTAAGTTGACAATACGAGAAGAGATTGTGTCCATGGTAAGTGCCTATGCACCACAAGTGGGATTGGATGCATCATTCACTCAACAATTTTGGGAGGATCTTGAGGAAGTGGTGCGACGAGTGTCATGGGGAGAGAAGCTGGTCATAGGAGGAAACCTTGACGGGCATGTGGGCTCAAGTGATAATGATTTTTAGAGTATCCATGGCTGACATGATTTCGGATGAAGTAGGGAAGAACATTCTGGACTTTGCCTCGACATATGAGTTGACTGTGATGAACATTTGGTTCAAGAAAAGAGACTCTCGCAATGTGACCTATAAAAGTGGAGCTAATAGTACCCAAATTGACTACTTTTTTAGTACGAAAGACTTGGAGAACTAGCTACATTGATTGTAAAGTTATCCCAGGAAAGAGTGTTGTTACTCAGCACAGGTCACAAGATGCTTATGTTTGATTTTCAAGGTAAAAAGAGAAGGCAGATGAAGGTACAAGGAGGGCCAAAGAAAAAATGGTGGAGGCTCGAGAGAAATCTCCAACAAAGTTTTGCACACAAAATGTTGGAGGAAGATGTATGGTCTACTAATAATGACGCACATGTGGATGATGTGTGGCTATCAATGAGTCCACCTTTAACAAAGTGGCGAAGGAGATACTCGAAAAATCTAAAGGATGTCTGCCACCAAAAAAGGACACATCTTGGTGGAATGATGATGTGAAACAAGCAATAAGGACAAAAAAGGAATGCTATAAGAAATTGGGAAAAAGTTGGAGTGAACAGAACATAAAGGAGTACGAGGAGGCTAGAAGAAGAGCAAAGAAAGGTGTAAATGAAGTAAGAGGAAAAGTGAACAAGGAATTGTATGTAAAATTGAACTCTAAGGAAGGAGTAAAAGATATTTACATACTTGCCCACCTTCGTGACCGTAGGACTCAAGATATCGGAAAAGTTGAGTGTGTGAAGGACGTCGATCAAAGGGAACTAATAGAGGACGAAGAAATAAAAGAGAGGTGGAGGTCATACTTTGATACCTTGTTCAACAAGAATAAAATTCAAGGTATTGATGATCTTACTATACCTAAGTGTATGGTAAATCGGGATTTTGTGAGAAGGATTCAAACAACAGAAGTTAATGAGACTATGAGAAAGATGGGGCAGAAGAAAGCAGTGGGCCCAGATGGCATACCGATCGATACCTGGAAAAGTTTGAAAATGGCATTGTGTGGCTAACACGTTTCTTCAACATGATTTGAGAAACAACAAAATGCCAGTGAGTTGGCGGAAGAGTACTTTCATTCCCCTATTTAAAAATAAGGGTGATGTACAAGAATGTGCCAACTATCGAGGGATTAAGCTTATGAGTCACACCGTGAAACTTTGGGAGCGAGTAATTGAACAAAGACTTTGAAAAAGTGTGAAATTTTCGGAGAATCAGTTTGGTTTTACGCATGAACGCACAACAACTAAGGTCATTCACATTGTTAGACAAGTTGTGGAAAAGT